GTTTTGTTCTTGAAGATGGGAGAAGTAGCAGCATATTGATGGGAAAGAATATCAGTATGTTGATGTAACTACATCTAGTAAGTGGCAGAACAATTGTGTGTGTGTGTGTGTGTGTGTGTGTACGGATTTTTAAGGATTCTGAAAATCTTGTTGGCCAAGAAAAGTCCTTTTTTATACACTTGGACATGTTGTCTCTGACATTCTAGCTTTCTGTATTATGTTAATGATTCACCAATTGTCAGTTTGTTTTACTGTGATGGTTTGTGTGTTGCTATGATACTGGAAGCTATGTCACCAATATTTTAAATACCAGTAGGGTCTTCCATGGTGAACAGATTTAAAGGATTATTGAAATCCTGCAATAATAGGCTCATTATTAATGGGTCCAGCTGAACATAAAACAGCACCTAGCCATCATTACAAGCCTAGTTCCTTCCCATGATTCTCCCACCCACTATCTCTCTCTCCTCTCTTTCAAACTTGCCAATCAGGAGGATACAAGGTGCTTTCCAAAACCTATCTATTAGGCACCACCCTTAGGGTATATTAATGGTGATTTCTCTCTCTGTCTCTCTCTGTCTCTCTCGTCACTTGCTCTTGCCCTGGCTCTGGCACTCTTGCCTCATTATGGCTTGCTCTCATGTTTAGCCATTCTACTACCCTTGTCTTTTCGACCTCTCTTCACTGTACTATTCCTGTCTCCCTTCTAGTATGGAATAACTTTGGGTCGTGTTTCCCAATAAAGCCTGTTATTCGAAACTCGCGTTCTGTTCCAGTCTAATTGCTCATTCACTTTTCACTTTAAATGCTGTATATTTGTATAATAGTTCTATTATAATAAGTTGGCTTTGTATATATTTAAAATAAGCAATAGCTAGACTGTCCTTCTAAATGTATCAAAGATAAATTTAAAGTATACTAGATTGTCTTAAATGGACCAAGTATATATATCATGTGGATATTAAAAAATAGGTTATCCATCAGTTTTATTATATTAAAACTACAACAAATTATATTATTCATCCTTCTAGAGCAGGGATCAGGGAACATTTTTTTCTCTCGAGGGGTATTTAGATATTTATAACATATAAATAACATTCACAGGCTATACTGATCAAACACCTGTGATGTGATGGCTGGAAGAGCTTCTCTTTGGAAAGGCATTTGAGGTTAGCTTGTGTTAATGATTTCCCAGGCTTATTGGACGGGAAGGCAGGATGTTCCCAACCCCTGCTCTAAGACATTACAGTAGATCCCCGGACCTTGATGCTAATCAGTTCTAAAAGGAGCATTGAAATGCAATGTAGTCTCAGGAAAACAGGTATGACAAGGAAATAAATGTGCAAAGGCATGGAGTTAAAAAGCTGAAAGGGAAAAATACGCTCAACATTTTTCAAACTGAATGAGCTGTAAGAAAAAAAAGCTTTGGGTTGCAATATTGAAATTGAAGTATTGTATGGGCAAAATGATGAATAGTATAAGAAGCATCAAAAGTAGATGGAAGTAATATTCAGTCACTGCACCACCCCCCAAAAAAAAGCCAACATTCAGTCATTTTTAGGAGATAACATTATATATACTACCTTTTGTGCTCAGAGTCCTCTTACCGTTTTCTTTATTGAATTACCTCATATGTTTGTACTCATAAACAATATATTATTTAATTTTGTTGCCTGAAATTCCCATTCTTCTCAATATTATCTATAATTTGGTATGGTCCATGCAATCGAATGTATTTGCCTTTCAATAAAATTCAGGTTGACATAAAAAAAAAAAAAAAAGAAATGCAATGTAGTCGAGTTCCAAATCAATTTTTCCCATAATAACTGAAAATGGATTAATCCATTCTCGACCACCAAGTTTTTACCCTAACCTTGCCTTTTAATACAAAACATTACACAGAAATTTCAAAGTTAATAAGTTTAGAGTTAAATAATATAATTTAAATAAGGAACACAACATTTAAAAATTTTTCAACAATTACAGTATGGCCCATACATTGAGATTGATGAGGATCTGGATCTGTGGACGCAGGTGTGGAGAGGAGGAGGGATGGAGAGAGTCAGTGTTTGGAAAGGGGTGGGAATCCTCTTCCATAAAATCAACTGGTAGCTGCTTTTCAAGAGTTTTTTCCCCCTTTGCCTTTTTTTACTAGGACTTGGTTGGCTTTTTCTTAAAAATTTTTGTCAAATATGGTCTGCTGTTGGCGTTTCCTTAACTGTTTTCTAAAAGGGTTACTAAATTGCCATCAACAATATCTATAACACGGTTAACCACTTCCTTATCATGATGATTCTTTCCAAAAAACTATCTTAGGACCCATGTTTTTTCATCTAAAAACAGTACGAAAAGCCACAAAAAACAAAGAAAGCTATAGTAAAACGCTTGGCACACAGCCGCAAAAGGTTTAAACAGCGCGTACTTACAATGCCAGCTAAATCTGAGTAACTGAAACACAAACTGCTTTTGTTTACAAAAATCACGTGCCTTAGGTCAGATTCCGATGTTTTGTTCAAGCTCCGATGCAAAATTGTCTCAGCATTTCAAGTCAGAATCCAATTATGTCAGGTACTCATATGGTTGAGTACTGGGGCTCTACTGTAGTGTGTAATTGTTATTTTATGAGAAGAGCATTCATTGCATTCTATCCGCTTAACATCTCCCACTTTGGCTTTTCTGGGCATCTAGAGCAAAAACAAAACTCACAGGCATGGAGTAGATACCAACTAATAGAGACTCCATAGGTCATGTAGAACTGTTTCTGAGTTTCTAGACTGGAACTCTTGAAGGCAATGGTTCTCAATCTGTGGGTCGCGACCCCTTTAGGGGTCAAATGACCCTTTCACAGGGGTCGCCTGATTCATAGCAGTAGTAAAATTACAGTTGTGAAGCAGCAATGAAAATAATTTTATGGTTGGGTGGGGGGGTGGGGAATCACCACGACATGATAAACTGTATTAAAGGGCTGCGGCATTAGGAAGGTTGAGAACCATTGCTTTAAGGGAATAAAAAGCTCACTTTTCTCCCACACGCTGATGGTTCAAATTGCTGACCCTGAGGGATTACAGCCTAATTCATAACCATTATACCTCCAGAAGTTACAAAATTCTAAACTTTTAATATGAATACATATAGCATCACAGTGGATAACCACTATACCACCAGTAATAAATCTTTAATTTTTATTTAGTGCTAATTATGGCCTTTCTTAGAACCACATTCAGAGTCAGAATCTTTTTGTTTTTTTTATGTTTGTTTCTTTTTAGTTGTGTGTTTGGGTTTTGGGTTTTTGGGTTTTTTTTAGCTTTTTTACTACAAGTGTTTTTATCATCCAACAACAGATAGTTTTAATTTTTTATTCTGATAGTCAACATGTCAAATGATTTCTAATTAATCCATTTCATAATGTAACGATGAAAAGGAATATTAAAAACAATATTCATATTATGCCTCTTAACAAGTACTTAATCTGTGGTTATTTGTTATTAACAGTAGTGTGCGTCAGGATTGTATCCTCTCAACATACTTATTCAATCTGTATGCTGAGCCAATAATCAGAGAAGTTGGATTATATGAAAATAAATTGGCAACAGGTGACGACAACCCTGCTTGCTGAAAAGGAGGAGGGCCCGAAGCACTTGCTGATGAAGATCAATGATTGCAGCCTTCTGTATAGATTATAACTTGGTGTCAAGAAGTCCAAAATATAAGTAAACCAATAGGTAACATCATGATAAATGGGAAAAGGGTTGAAATTGATGAGGATTTTGTCCTGCTTGGATCCACAAGCAATGTTCATGGAAAAGCAGCAGTCAAAAGCTCAAAAGATAAGTTGCCTTAGGTAAATCTGCTGCATAAGGCCTCTTTAGAATATTGAGAAGCAAAGATGTTACTTTGAAGACTGACATGCCCCTTGCCGAAGCCACACTGTATTCACTTGCATCACATGCTTTGAAAGTTGGACATTTAATAAGGAAGACTGAAAAAGAATCAATACATTTGAATTGTGCTAGAGAAGAATATTGAAAATACCATGGGTTGTTAAAACAACAAAGTTGTCTGGATTGGAAGAAGGTCAGAGGGCTCCTTGGAGACATGGATGACAAGACTTAATATTACATATTTTGGACATGTTTTCATGAGAAACAAGTCCCTGGAGAAAAGGATATCATGCTTGTTCTAGTGGAGAGTTAGTGAAGAGGAAGACCTTCAACAAGATGGATTGGCACAGTGACTGCAACAGTGGGCTCAGGGATGGGAAAAATTAAGGGGATGTCATAAGACCAACCAGGCATTGTTTCTGTAGTTCATAGGGTGGTATAGGTCAAAACCCATTTGATGGCCCCTAACAACAAAAACATACAATTGCTCATAGTGATCTCTACTCCACTGGTAACCTTTCCAGTTAATCAAGCTATTACAGGGAATGTAAATTTACTACCTTTATAATTTTTCATCCGAGATTGGTGTGTGGTATATTTTAATAAAATGCTGAGATGATTAATATGGTATACTTTGTCTTGTGAGCATTTGGGAACCACCATTATTCCATTCTTTTAAAAGTGGTTTTCCTCTGAGTCTTTTAAATAACACTGAATAAAAATGAAGGAGTCCTTGTGGTGCAGATGATTAAGTGCTGCTCTGCTAACAGCAAGCATGACAATTTGAACCCACTTAGCAGCTTGGAGCGAGAATGACCTGGTGCTTTGCTTCTGCAATGGTTACGACCATGAAAACCTTATGGGACCATTGTACTCTGTCCCATGAGATTGCTTTGAGTGGAAAATGTACACAACAACAGCAACAAATAAACATCTACAATTTTTTTCCTTAGTAAACTTTAAAACTATAGAAATTATTAGGTCAATTAGGTATTTTTATAGGCTTTAAGAGATGGGATAAGATTTCAATAATGCCCCCCAAAAAGATTTCAATAATATAGATTCATCAATTTGGAACGTTTAATTTTCATGTAGATATCTTCTGTGTTTTATCCCTAGACCAGAGGAAGAGTCTTCTTCATCCTCCAGTGATGAAGATGAAGATGACAGGAAACAAATTGATGAGCTACTAGGAAAAGTTGTTTGTGTGGATTATATTAGTTTGGATAAAAAGAAAACTCTGTCGTTTCCTGCATTGGTGAGTCACTTCAGTTTAAAAGTAAATTTTTTTAAACGTAAAGTTCATAAAGTAAACATTATCTTCAGTAGTGTTTTTTTATATACACAACCTGGGATATGTTTTGTTGTTACCATTATTTATGTCACACAGACAATACTTTAGACGTTGTCTTACAGTACAAGGATTTGTTGAAATCATTCAGGAAAGACAAATGTAAGGCTTCCTATATAGGAATTCATTAAAGTACTGGGCTTTTTTGATAGAAATTTAGAGGTACAAATGTAATACACTGTGAAGCTTAAACTATACAAGAAGAATAGAATCTTGATTGACTGATGGGTAGCTAGGAATTTTCCTATTCTGAGCCAGTTTGTTTACTTTTTTATACTAATATTGCGTATTGGGTTCTTTCTGTATAATTATGGAATTATAGACTAGTCTAGGTGCTGACATTCTTTCCCCAAAATTTTCAACCCTAGAGATCACATACTGTGTATTTTCAATTTTTTCTATGCTTTCTCACTTTGCCTTCTGTGATCTTAGTAGGTTCTCAGTGCTGAATTTTGAAGAATATCCTCATTGTGCAACACGTATTATGATGGCAAACATTTTTTGAAATGTTTTTTAGGGTTTCTCAAACAGGACCAACAAAGTTTTTGCTGTTTGGGTTTCAGTATGAACTTCAGGTTTTCTCACTTAATTTCTAAATCGTTTCTGATGAAAGATATTTTAGGATTTAATTCTCATCCTTCTCAGGTTTCGTTTCTTCATAGCAGTTGAAATAACGTGGTAAAGGCAAGTCTGATTATGGCATTCCCTGCTTTAAACTCTTCCCTTAGAGATTTTAGATTTTACTCTTAAGAATTCATATGATCTACCAGACCTAGGAAAATTAGGTTGTTTATTTCTTACTCAGGCCAAATAAAATTAGTCACATGGGGGGAGGGTGGGGGAAAATGAGGAGGTTATACCAAGCACTCATATGTACCTGGAAAGCAGGGGTAAGGTGGGGAGAGGAGGAGAGGAAGGGGGAACCATCACGATGATTGACACATAACCACCCCGTCCCCACCCAGAGGAATGAACAATAGAAACTGTGGAGAAAAGGGGGACAATAGAAAATAAATGTCTAGAAAATAAATGTCTAGAAAATGATGATGGCAACATATGTACAAATGAGCTTGATACAATTGATGTATGGATGTTACAAGAGCTGTAAGAGAGCCCTCAATAAAATGTTTAAAAAATAAAAATAAATTAATCACACACACTAATAAATTAATTAATAAAAATAGTCACACAGACTTTCTTTTCTTTGGGGAAATAAGTTCCATTGCCTCAGGCCTTTACATCATCTATTTCCTCTGCTTGCAGTACTTTTTCTTTTTTTTAAACTGGTATATACTTCACATATACAAATTAATTGTTCAATTTTATTAAGAAGATTTGTGCAATCATCACCACAGTTAATTTCAGAACATCTTCTTGTACTCATTGCCATTAGCCCCCTATTTTGCTGTACATTCTTAAACTATACCCATATACACATGCATGCTTTTATTTGGTCTTACTCCTAATAGTTCTTGAAATCTCAGCTCAAATGCCTTGTCCCTGAGACTCCAGATCCCTGTCTAGCACAGTATAAAAAGAGTTTAATACATAACAATTTGCTTGCATGTATTAATTTGTGTTTGTAGCATTATTAGTTAGATGACTAAATGAAGTACTGACTTCAAGACTCAATTGAAATTACAAGTTTTTTGAGATGCTTCATTTTTGTAAAAAACTTTATTAGCATATTATTCAGAAGACCACTAACATTGAGGCAGTGCAACAAAATTATGGAAATTTATAACTTTATTTTGAAAGAAAAAATTAGAACTAATCTGTTTCTAGCTCCTGTTTCTGCTATGAGATCAAGTGTCTTTTTGTGTAGTAGGATGATTTTTAGAACATCCCTGAAACAAGCCTGCCTCATTTATTTATTTTGCCCATTTAAAATTAAATAATACAAATTATTATCAGCTTGCTCTTGGTATAGACCATTGGTTTGCTTGGAATTAAAATAATAAAAATTCATAAGAATATTACATTAATATTTCCTTTGGGAAGTTTTACTTTATCCTTAACAAAAACAAAAACCCACAGACCAGAGAGATCAATAAGAATCTCTGCCATAAATTAACAAAGAATGTCTCTGAGGTGAACAAGGGCCAGATATACAATATATAGATTCAGGAATGGATTTGGGGCTCACACTTAATCCAAGCTCTAGTCTAAGCACAATTAGTTCTTATGACAGTGACCTTACCCTCATGAAGGAAACTAACCTTCATGAAGGAAACACAGAAGATGATATGTGTGCTATAGCAAAGTGTGGTGAAGAAATTAGATGGTATCAGGCTATCAGATAGAATAGCGTCTAGGATCTTAAAGGCTGGTTTCCAAACAAGCTGTGTCAACTAAGTCCACCTGGAAGAAACACACCAACATCTGTGACCAAAGGATTGTAAATTTTATAACCCAAATCCATAGGACGGAATAGTATCAGAGCTTAAATTGTGAGATTCTGGTTTGCAGAAGGCTATGGGTGACAGTCAACGCCCAAAATGCATTTGCAGGATCTACACAGGGATTAAAGCCTCCAGTGATTTCCCTCTATCCATAATTGTGGGATGGTAATAAACTGGTTACCAGAAAGAGTATTGGAGAGATGATTATAGCAGATTAAAATGCTAAATCTAACCTGAATAGTTAAAACTTGTCCCTTGATCTCCCCTCTCATACACTTTGGGCTTGATCTGGTTTTTAATATTTTCTGTGGTGTTTTTGTTTTTTTTCCATATTGGGGTTCTTCTCAAATGTATTTTGTCATTGTGGGTAGCCTTCTTGAATCTTTGTGTTTTTCAATGGTTTTCAGTATATCAAACCCAGGATTGATGAACCTATAGAGAATAAAGAGTTCCAGGGAGGTAGGGTAGGGAAAGTGGGAGGGTGGGTAAAGGGGAGCTGAGAACAAGGAGTTCAAGAAGGAAGAGATTGTTTTGAAACTGATTTTTTTAAAATCATTTTATTGGGGGCTTGTACAATTCTCACAATCCATACATACAGCCATTGTGTCAAGCATATATATATACATTTGTTGCCATCATCATTCTCAAAACATTTGCCTTTACTTGAGCCCTTAATATCAGGTCTTCATTTTTCCCTCTCCCTCCCCCCTGCCTCATGAACCCTTCATAATTCATAAATTATTATTATTTTACATGTCCAATGTCTCCCCCGCCATCTTCTCTCAGGAAGAAGGCTATACGTAGATTCTTGTAATCGGTTCCCACTTTCCACCCCACATTCCATCACCCTCCAGGCATCGCC